ATGGCAAAGCAGTGTATTCTTCTTTGTTTTTCTTTTGACTAATAACAGATTCTTTAATCCATGTCAGCATGCCAGTTCATCAAACATGAAAGATGGCTGCTGCTGTGTTCTGCGTGCACTTTGTGGACGGCTCCGGCTGCATGTAGAAAACAAAGCTTTGTCCGGCCCGTACCGGTGAAAATTCTGCCCCACTTCTGCCTTTGCAGCTTCGCTTTTGAGTAACTGCTCTGACACGTTAGAATGTGTAAATTCTATGGAACAGGTTCAGTTTGCAGACTATATCTTTGGCTGATGCAAATATTTTCTGATACAAGCAAAGCAGGAGCCATGGATCTGTCCCAGTGCAGGGTTTGTTGTTGTGTGTAATATCCGTGGCACCGCAGATGGCACTGAAGCAGTGACGGATACCTCGGCCCCGTTCTTGCCTTTCCTACCCTATGCTAATTACTGGCGCAGACACTGCAGCGTTTATTAGTTTTCAGGGTTTATGCAAGTCACTGCTGCATTCCAGCGTGCTCCAGAAGCCTCCCTTCAAAGAGCACCGTGGAGTAAATATCCACATTGTGGGTCATGTTTGACAACAGTCCTAGTGGGAAGTGTGCTAGTGGCTGATTAAAGGAAGAAGCCACATGAAGGGGGGGGGCTGAGATTGGGTGAGATTGGCCACAGGATGTGATTCACACCATTCCCATCCTAATGAAGTCATTGAGTGACCCCTTTCACCCTTTTAAATGGGAGCTTTATTTAAAGGGATCTATCAGTGCAACTTTGTATTCTTTTACGGTCACCCTTACCCAAAAACATGCAAGAGGACACCACCTGGACCAGCAGAACACATTAGAACTTGAGAGTTTGTAGGGTTTATATGTGACTTTTTGTTGTTCAAATGAAAATACGTAGAATGTGTATTTCAGCTGCACACAAGCTAATTCGCTTTAAGGCCAGCGAGGAAGCCACCAACCTCTGTCTGTGCTCTGTGGTTTTGATTAAATCGGACAGAAATTCCTCTATACCAGCTGCAAATCCTCAATGGTTTCAAATCCTCAAATCGAAACCAATAAGCTGAACCTTACGTTTTTATCAGTAAAACAAATGCAGGTGTTGATGTGTAGTGGACCAAAGAAAAAAGGGAAATCAGAAATAATTATAATACCAATTAGAAAATAAAATCACAAAAGTATTTGGTTTAGGGAAATGGATGCAGCAGCTGCAGCTCACACCACAAACCAGAAGCCACGGCTGTCAGTGACATGTCGGAGGGCATGAAGCACGTCACGCGAGATTCAAGTGTCAACCTTTTCTCATTTTAATGAACAATGCATCAAAAAGTTTTGAAATGAAATATTTATTTGCTGTAATTTCTTTCATTTTAGAGCAATTCAAAGTACACAGATTGATAAAATCTCCTGCAGTCTGCAGCGACATGTACTGTACTCCTCCGTCTTTCATGTTCTAAGTTGTGCAGGTCTATTATTAGCCAGGTTTTTGGGTCGGCTGCAGTGTTGCTACTGAACCATCCACTTTGCCAGACTCTTCATTATGCAAAATGTGTTTTGTGTGCTGTGGTCTAATTGATTCTGAATGAAGCATGAATTATTGATGTGCAAACATGAGTCCTTCTCTTTCTGTTTCTATTTCTCTGTCTGTGTATGCATGATGCCTCTTTTATTCCATTTATCTCCTTTTTCTTTGATTTGATTTATTTTTATTTTTATTTTTCAATTTTTTATTCATCCTATCTGTTTTGCACCATTGGTATTGGTAAAAGGCTGCTCATCAAAGTCTGCAGGAAGGGATTCTCCACAGAAAGACTTGACAAACACTACTCTTGACCCCATGGTAGCCTCAGAAGGGACCTAAGGCCTTAGTTGATTAACCTGTAATCCCCCAAACCAAATCTGCTTTGCGTTAAGTCTATTTACCTTCAGAGACCCTGCAACTAGCACTTAACAAAGAGCATATATCAGGAATGTAGTCACGAATATGTCTTGGCCTTGTTTTAGAATCTGTCAAAATATATTGATGCATTATTGAATTGTGATGCATTACACTTTAAAATGAAGTGTCGTCTTTGAAGTGTAAAGAAGTTATTTTTCCTTAGAATTTTTTTATTTTTATTTTTTTGCTGATTGAAGAATCGTTCGTAGTGACTGATCAAATTCAATTTTAATTTGTGATATCTGTGACATTGGATAAAATACTTAGATTACCCTTAAAAGTGTAGCCACTATTAATTATTTTTGTCTAACATTACGAGGTGCACGACATAAGGCATTAGCTTTAATGTTGTGTATTTAGCCGTGTAGCCATACATAGCAGATTAAATTATAGGACATCTCTCTGTTGGGATCAATAAAGTATCACATTGTCACTATCACTGAGCAACACGGGGAATGGGACACCCAGCCCCAATATTGGCTGAGCCGTACGCCATGCATTGAGCTACACTGGAACTCAATCCCTTAAACTAGCGGTGGCCTGCCACTGTCAGCTTGTTTCAGACAGGAAAACCACGTTCATGTCAACCAGTGATCGCTGCACCAGCGGCTCTCTCTGCCCTCCTGATATGGTGTCAAATGCTAAGGCGCTCTCCCGGCTAATCCTGTGTCACCTCTTTCTCCTCGCTGCTCTTAAAATACCTCGACTTCTGTGCAGCAGGACTGTTGCTCCGCGCCAGTCTATGACATAACCGCCACTGGCTTCACGAGCAAAAATGTAACTCCTATAAGAATTTTCTTTGACTTTTGCATTATTGGTTTAGAAGCCAGTTAAGTAGTTAAGTTTTACTTTTATACCCCGAATTGGCCAAGGGTTTAAGGCACCACATTTTTCATTTAATTTGTAAGACAACATTAAAACTTTTAAGTAGTTGGAGAAAAAGGGATACTGTAAATGGGAAAGATACTGAGTTTGACCCCCATTTTATGAAGGTAGTGAATTATTTAATTTGCATATGATGACGTTGCTGGCTTGGATGACAGTTTACAGTTAAACTGTCATCACTGTTAGAAATATGATCAATACAGCCCCATTCAGACCTCTGTTTCCACTTCAGGTCCATTAAAATGTGTCAAAATGCTTCTGGTTCTCCCAGTGCTTCTGCATTACACATTTTTCTCTGAGCCATCGCCGGATCGTAAATGGACCGGCCTTATCTCTTGAAAATAATCCATCTCTGCAACGTTGTGTGAAGTTTTCTGTCTGGCCTTCTCAGTGTGCCTTTGAAGTCGACAGCTGATGTTTTCCATCCATCCCAGGAGACTCAAAGTAAGCCGCCAGTTTGCCAACCGCCTTCCCAATTTGGCATTCCTCAGCAAAGCTTCTGGACAAATCTTGTCGGTTGCTGGCTGGCCCGTGACACCCCTCCCTCGGCTGTAGGTTCCCCATCCCATCACCCCCACCCCTGAAATGGGGACTTATTGGCTCCTGTGTGCGTGCTCAGCCTGGCTGCCAGCAGACTGAGGCTCAGTGGGCACTGCAGTGTTGGATGGGACGGGATGCGGATATGACTGCTGAACATTTGGCCACACCACACACACACACACACACACACAC